GACGAGACTTGGGCAAACTCGCGAACTCGTTAACGAGTGAGAGAGGCCAGTTGACCGCAGCGACCTCGATTTGCAAACCGAACAACGCGACGCATTTTTGCGACTCCGGAGCCGAGCTCTTAATCGAATAAGTTCTGCGTCCAAGAGCCGAACTATGAAGTCTCTCTCTCCCTCTCTCTCTCTCTCTCTCTCTCTCGCTCTCTCGTGTCCGCGCGTCGCCCTGTTGTGTTAGAAAATTCATCAGCTCCTAGAGCCGAGATCCCTCGTCCTCTTCCTCGGTTTTGCGTTTAAATATGGACGTAGAATCGTAGAAAAAATTCAAGGTGTCACGTAGTGGCGAGTAGTTTTTAAGTTACGGGCGACGTGTCTCCCGGCATCATCGCAAAGTACCATTGTGAAAGGGACAAGGGGACTTGAGCGATGCGACGCCACCGTCCGCGAACTTTTTAACGAGTCAGGGTCTCACGCGTTGCGGTTTCAATCCTAAAAATCGCTGAGCTCTTCGCGGAAACTCCGGGTATATATGTATATATGTGTGTGTGTGTGTGTGTGTGTGTGTGTGTGTGTGTGTGTATGTGAGTGGACGGGTGAGTAGGTGGATGGGTGGGTGAGTGGGTGGGTGTGTGTCGGAGCCTCGTCAACGAGATTACCGTTAACCCGAAAGTTCGCCGAGCTAGCCTCGAGGAGTTGTTTCGCCCGAAACTCGCCCCTTGTTGGCGAAGGTAACTCCTGTGGGCTCCGCTAGGCAACGAGGTTACCGTTAACCCTGTAGTTAACCGACGAGCTAAACCGATTCCGGTCGCAATCCTCTTTTCGCCGGCTCACCGCAGCGCAGCGGAAGACCGCGACGAGCCTATCGGTTCATATTTCATATAATATCGACGCACTTGGGCCGCTCCGCTATTACGTTACCAATACATGCAGATATCTTTGAAAACTTGCTACTTTGGCCGCGTATTGTGGGAATTTCCTCCGCGGTGACGTACTCGGCAGGAGGGGTGGCATCGTGTAAAGCGTACGTGCGACATGAGGCCGGAATGTGAATCGACCTGTTCTCTCTCTCTCTCTCTCTCTCTCTCTCTCTCTCTCTCGTCGTTACTGACCTGCACCACGCGACGTTGTACAAACAGAGAGCACGTAATGCCTGTAGCGGAGCAAACACTTTCCCAAGAATGTACAAAATTTACCGAACTTGCTAGCGCAAAGTTCCCCGCGAGATAACGGAGCGAATAAATAACAGCTCGGAGCTGCGAAGGAGAAAGAGAGCAGCGCGGAGGGAAAGAAGCGGAGAGATATCCAACTTGGATTTAGTTCAACTGTGATATACCTATCATGATCGAAGTATAACAGTGCGGAGTCTAGGGATTCTATGCTGTCGCTACATTTTTTAACACTTCGACGCGTGCTTCTTTATCTCCCACTTTATCTCCGAGTTCGGTCTAACGACAGATGGGAAGGACAGACGGAGAGAACGATGATTTCTCCATCGACTCGCAAATCGATCCGACGAATGCACGTGACGTAACCCGAGCAGAGCATCGTCCCATGGCCGTATTAAAAGCCCACTTCGGTTTCCAAATTTCAAACAGGGCTCGGATAACTTTATCGGATCCGGCACGTAATAAGGAGTGAGACGCACTGCTGCATAACGCCCTGATAAAATTGCCTGAAATCGAGAAACCTGATGAAATGTCCATCAGGATCAAATCAGGCGTCCAAATAATGACGTCATCGCTGGTCAGGGTATAATCCGGAAAATATTGCAAGACAATTGCCACATTCCGGCCGGATAAGGACCACTCATAATGCCTTCTTATGGGTTGCCTACCCGAGCAGAACATCGTCCCACGGCCGTATTGAAATCCAGTCCGGTTTCCAAATTTCAAATAAGGCCCGGATAACTTTATCGGATCCGGCACGTAATAAGGAGTGAAACGCACTGCTGCATAAAATTGCCCTGATAAAATTGCCTGAGATCGAGAAACCTGATGAAATGTCCATCGGGACCAAAACAGGCGTCGAAATAATGACGTCATCGCTGCTCAGGGTATAATCCGGAAAATATTGCGAGACAATTGCAAGACATTCCGACCGGATAAGGATCACTCGAAATGCCTTCTTATGGCTTACCTAGTCATACCATATCAGACATAAAAATTGCCTTATTTGATTTCCGCTCGGGAAGCTCCGGGTGAGACGAAATCGCCAAAGCTCGCGAACGCTATAATAATCGAGCCTCAGGCTCGATTGTTACACAAACGACGAGTAATGTGCGTCGGTCGGCATGTCAGCCGTTAAGAATCACGCGCGAGATGAATGATCCCGGAAGAAAGATTACTCGAAATTATCTAGTCTTTGACTCCCTCGTACGGATGATCACGCGCGAAATTTGTCCCGAGCAGCTGATGCTTTTATCATAAAAGGGATTTTTCTCCCGGCGAAATACTCGGCAAAAGAGAGGGGGAGGGGAAGAAACGCCACGCGCCACATGTACCGTTGCGTGAAACACGTTCCCGGTTGCACATCCGCACATCTCGCGCGTGCATCTGCGTCGAGGAAGATCTTACCGCGTCGAAAGACATGACAGCTCATCCGGTCAGTTTTCAGACGTAGGGACCAAGGGAAAAAGTATATGTGGAGAAGATAGGAAAGAGATAGAGAAAAGAGAGAGAGAGAGAGAGAGGGGGGAGGGGAGGGGGAAAGAGAGAGAGAGAGAGAGACAGTACCAATTTCCATATTATAATTAATTTCTCACTTAGCTGGGGCGAGGAGGGGGCGACGCACCGCATTAATTATATGTCCCCGGCCGACGCTCGAGCTATTCATACATATCTAATTAACTCGGCCTCGCGCGAGAACTTATAAAGTGCGCCGGAGCTTTGCCCGTGCGAGCTTCCAGCCACGGCTAGTCGCCGACACGCGAGGCCTCATAACTCGTTTGATATCGCTTTCATCCCGGCTAATTATTTTATGAACTTCAGCGGAGGAACTTTAGGATCTCTTCGAGTTGAAAGAGCTTAGCCGGTTAAATAATCGCCTCGCACGTAAGTCGACGAGCAGGGCTCAGTGGAGTCACCACCGACGCCGGCATTTGCCGCGGCGACACTTTGAGTCCGAACTGACTTCGGCGGCGCGGCGAAAGCAAACTGATTCGCTTCCGCGACTCGCCGTCGAGAGAACACCGGCGATGCCGGTGTTTGTTCTCGCTGGCTGTTCGTGTTTCCCCATCGAGGGGGAATGAGCGATGATTATCGCAATTCACACGAACACACAAGAGCGGTGCGCTTTGTTTCCTTTTTTTTTTTTTTACGGCCGCAACATTAATTCATCGCGGCGCAGAATCGTCCCCTCGCCCCGCCCTAGTATAAGTATTACACAAAACCCGACCGGGCGGCGGCTGAAAAATGCGCCATCCTGCTTTCATCGGAGCAAAGACACGCTCGGAGGCAGTAAACGAAAAATGTAAATCGAGTCGGATAACGAGATCGATATAAAAGATCGGCCGATAACGTCAATTAAGAAAAAAGGAGAAGAGAGAGAGAGAGAGGGAGGGAGAAAGCAGCCGCGGTGCATTGTAAAAATTCATGTGACTCAGGCCGAATTGATAGTCCACGTGCTGGCATGATCGCGCTGCATAAAACGAGAGACGGAAAGTTACCCCCTTGAAGATGAGGGGGAGGAGAAGCAGGAGGAGGAGGAGGAGGAGGAGGAGATGGCCGCGCGATCACACGATCGTCAAACTTCTCGGCAGGGAACTTCGCGAGGGAGTGAAGCATAGAGATTTAAAGCGACCGGCGCGCGGCGCGGGGTCGCGCGATCTTCGCAACTTTCGCCGTCGATTCTCGCTGCGGGCCGGCTAGTAATTGCGATCTCGATATGTTTCGAGGAACTTCGCCGTCGAAGTTGGCGCAGATCGACTCTTTCGCCTCCCTCTCTTCGCTCTCCTCTTCTCCCGCCCTTCCTCCCCCCCGCCCGCATTTTCTTTCACTAGCTCTTCGAACGTTAATCTTGATATCCGTTTTGCCGGAGAACGGCGCGCAAATAAATTCGGGAAAAAGTTCTCGCACGCCCGCCCGCGCGCGCGGACGTACGCGCCAGCGCGAGCGGGCACGGCAATTTGCACGAGTAGTTTGCTCTCGCCATTTCGCCATCGCGCGGATGCTCTCGCTTTCTCCCTCGCGTTCTATCTCTCTCTCTCTCTCTCTCAGCGCGTCGGCCGGTTTGCACAACACAACACCGGCAAAAGCGAGCATCCTCGCATCGGGGCACGTTCCCTCGGTCATTTTAACAAATTGTTTCTCTTGGCACACTCCGCCGTGGCGTACACGCGCGCACTTGCGCACGTACGTGTACGTGTGCGCGTGCATGTATATTTACGTACAGCATGTGCGCGGGAGAGACGCGGGAGCATTACGTTCGTGTAGCGCACCGGATGAATCGGAAGTGTGCGCGCATTCGCGTTCCCCAACGGACCGGAGATGTTTGAATTTCTCCACGATCGGCTTGTCGCTCGATTTTATGGATTCACGTGTGCTCGAATATTAGATCGTTGCGCGCGCTTTTTTCAGCGGTATTCGCGCACTCGCGCGCCGAAAGCCTGTTTACGCATGCAGTTAAGCCGAGTTTCGGGCCAATAACGAGACTAGTCGGTAGACTCGCGTAAGTCAATAATAATATCCGCCATCACTCGGCCATCGTAAAAAGAAAAAAGAGAGAGAGAGAGAGAGACTGAAAGAGAATGGGCGAGGAGATTTTGGAAATTGTGAATTTACGCGTATCGCACCGGCTACGCGTGTCTTTAATAATTGCTTCGCACGCGACTAAGGCGAGCGCAAGCACAGCGAGTTATCTGGGTTAGATTTCTTGGTTTCTCTCTCTTCTTCTCTTGCTGATGCGAATTCTACAAAATATATGGAATATATTCCTTTCGAGTTACGTGAGGTAAACGTCGCGAGTTTCCCTCTATTGTTTCACGGAATATGTGTGTTTGTTGTACTCACTCGGGTGGTCGGGTTCGTCGCTGTTTGCATCGTCGTTGAAGGAAGTGGTCCCTTTCAACTGTGCATTGGCGAGCGTCGATACCTCGATACAAGTCACCACTATCAATATCCACAGCATACTGGCGAACGTCTCTTCACCCTCGAATTTCACCCTCGCAGCATCCTAACGTGGCTCGCGTCTTGCACGATCCTCGGCGACGTCCTGTCAAGAAGCAAAATGAATTTTTATTTATGAATTTTTATTAATGAAGGAGAGAGAGAGAGAGAGAGAGAGAGAGAGAGAGAGAGAAAGAGAGAGAGAGAGAGAGAGAGAGAGAGAGAGACATAAAGACAGACACTGTGGGCGGGATAAAGTGAAAGAGAATTTATAAATATATCCCAAATTCCCCGCGCATTTACGTTCGCAATTCGAGCATCCTCGCGCGACGCGAAACTTTGGATTTCTCTAATTCCGGCGGAAAGGAGAGGAAAAAGCGACTCGGGTCGCTGTTTCCCCCGACAGTTCAAATAAGACAGCGGCTAATGTAGATGGACTTCGTGACGGCGAAAATTTCGCAGCGGCGATGGAGCTTCGCGCATTCGCTCGCGGACGCTCCATTCTCATCGTTCCGAGCGAAATTTCGCGCGGAGATATCATCGACACATGCAGCTGACATTGAACACGAGCAGCCGCACGTTTGATAACGCGTCACGCGTTTATTGTTAATTTCGCCGCCGTTTTCGGCGCGCAAGCGCCCGCGTCGCGCCGAAATTGGATTAATAACGAGCGACGGTTGATCAGCGATGGAATGATGTAGAGTCGGACCAAGGTCGATTGATCATTCGGAACAACGAGCGCGACGCGCATCAAAAACGCGCGCGCGGCGTGACGCCGGGCTTTTCTCTCCTATCTGTGGAAACTCACAATGGACGAGAGATTGCCCGCACAGATACGATTCGATAACCCCCCCCCTCCGCCGACTCTTCCGCCAATCCTTCGACTAATAAAATCCTTTTTACCGGACCGACCGAAACTCTAACTGACGAGTTTATTTGGAAAGGAGAGTACGACACGACGCGTCGACACTGACGGCCGAAGGGAAGGAAATAAAGCGGAATATCCCGCAAGATCAGAGAGAAACAACAACAAGCAGTCGCAAACAAATTTAATATTCTTCCTCGGCAAGCATTTTTAGCAAATTCGAAGTGAAGTCGAGGAGCAAGTTCAAACAGTCGCGTGAATTCGCTTAACCGCGAAATCGCGCGCTTCGCTTCCCCGTCGGCTTCCCCGCGTGCTTGAGGACCGCTTTGTAATTTTTCGTACTTCGGAATTGCACGACTGCGGAATTGCGGAGTGCAGAAAGCTTAGGAACGTTCTATTCCATCCACGCGTTATTCTCTCCAACAGTCCGATCAGCAAAGAAATACGCCACGCCGTTCCGCGGAACAACGATTGAGATTTTCGTGAGGATTCGTGCGGATGAAGAACGGAGAGCCGCGATATAAGCGTCGGCGAGCGCGAAATTGATCGCGGTATGTTGGCCGATTATAACGGGAAAGCGCGCGTGCGCGCGCGCGCGCACTTCCGCTGCCCGATGGATTTCGCGCGTCGTCGAACGCGAAGATCGCGAATACACAAAAATAATGATCGCGCGGGAAGAAAAATGCCCGGGTTCCCCCGGAGTTCCGTGCGGAGTGACGCGCGCCGTGGGAAATCTAGGAAACGCGGCAGGTGAATGGTATCCTTTGTGCAAGGACAATGCAGCTCATTCGTGCGGGGCCTTGTAAACTTCGTAGACTGCAGGTTTATCGAGGCAACGTTTTCGCCGCTCTGATTACCACGTCGCTCTTATTCGACAGCCATTAGCTACTCGTAAATCATTCTGCGTCGCGAGATAAATCGAATGTGCAAACGCGAGTTTGTGTCGTGTCGGCGGGAAACCGCATGGATGTATCCTGACCGAGACGAGAAAATCGCGAGAAAAAGGATACGATACAGGCGGTCGTCCTGTCGCGTGACGCGTTACAAACGAGTGCTTCCTCCTGCTGTTTTCTCCATTTCGCCGTGGGGCTCCGAAGGATACTCCTCGTCTAGTCCTTATTTTTCATTTCAATGAGTCGTGTATTAATCAGATGACTCGCTTAATTGCAGACGGAGCATGTGCGATGAGCGAACATTAAAATAACTCTCCGGATCCTTCATCGGTCTTCCGAGTCGGGCAACGCAATTCGCAGGATGAATGTAGGAGAAAATTTCGACTCAGGTATATACAGGGTGCTAAATTACAAACGTAACAGGTAAAAAATCTCGAAAACTATGAAAGATATTGAAAAACACGTGTTCCACGATTTCGAAGGAGAAAGAGAATGGCATTATCAGTTTTTTATTTGGAGGGCATTTTCGAGGTCAGTTGAACGTCAACTTGATTTCTTAAAATAGAAAGCCCAATTTTTTATTATATCTTCTTTTTCTACCAATTAATTTTAACAACTTTTATCTGAAACTTTTTTTATTATTCGTCGAAAGAAAAAATAGTATTAGGCTTTTTTACTTTATTTACTATCAAGAATATATTACTATAATAGTGCTCCAACTTTTGTTAACTTATCGACCTTTGAAAATTTCAAAATTATTATATTAAGTTAATTATTAAAGTAAGTTGAATGTTGAAAAAGTTACCAAGTTTTCCTTAAATATTACAAAAAATATTAGGTAAATAAAAAAATGTTTCAGACAAAAGTTGTTAAAATTAATCGGTAGAAATAGAAGATATAATAAGAAATTGGACTTTCTACTTTAAGAAATCAAGTTGACGTTCAACTGACCTCGAAAATATCCTCCAAATAAAAAACTGATAATCCCATTCTCTTTCCCCTTCGTCGAAATCATGGAACACGTGTTTTAGCCTTTTTTTTAATATCTTTCATAGTTTTCGAGATTTTTTACTTGTTACGTTTGAAATTTAGCACCCCGTATATGTATACATAGACACCATTTACTGATGCGAGCTGTTGCAACTAGGATGTATGACCGGAGGGATTCGTTACAGGATACTTCTCTTTATAAGAAATAATTCCATGAAAAGGCGGATACATAAGAGACACATTATGTAGGTTCCTTAATATACGAGTATATAACATAACGTCTCTTACGCGCGAGCCATGGCTTTAACTTCAAGGATAAGGGCGATTAGCTGAGAGCCGGGAGTTTTTTGATTATTTTTGTATGTTGTGAGAAAAAAATCAGCTGAAAAGGAATGGCAAAGTGTGTTACTAACTAAGAGGAAACTCTCTGCACTATCAGCTGTATATTCTTTTATGACATTTTACTCATTTCCGGATATCTCCTGCGATACTACGATAGAAGACGATTCGAGGCGAGTCGCGCCTCGAGTCGTCTCCTCCGGGCAATTCGCAGATTCGTGTAAAGTCGCAAAAGTTAATAACGAAGCGATTAATAGCATTTCCGCAAGAATCGAATTATTGCAAATTGACCGGATACGGATGGGAAGGCGAAGAAAGATGAAAAAAGCAAAATTGAATTATATACGGTTGGTTTAGCCGAAGAGCGTTGCCGATCGCCAGATTTAATCGAAGATTCTCCTCGACTCGCTCTCTCCCCGATTCTTATCCACTTTATCTGATTTTTTGCCCCTTCATCGTCTCCAAGGGTGGATCACGTTCGCGCTTCCGGTCATTCCCGACGAGTTGTAAAGCGAGCGGCAACCTTCCCCTCGAAGGGCGAGACGCGAATCGATGTTTTAGCTCGAACGAACGAACGAACGCGTCACTTCCTCCCGGTGAGTCTTGCGAGCGCAAGTGACGTCTTCGCGAAGAGAATACGAGAAGGATAATACAGACTGAAGTCGTATTACATCTAACGAGGGATGCCGGAGATAAGAGAGAACGAGATCTGCATCCCTCGCGGCTGGATTTTCGGTTACGACGGTTAGTTAAGCAGTCCGATAAGATTTTAGTGCAGTCGCTCCAACGATAGACAGCGAAATAATTGCTTCTCCAGCCGATCGTATTACGCGTAGCGAACTCGCAGGTGTATTATTTTTCCTTGGTTTCAGACAAAATATTTTTCATTATCTCGATAATGAATATCGATGAGAAGACGTTCTCTTTCCCCTTTTCTCTCTCTCTCTCTCTCTCTCTCTCTCTCTCTCTCTCTCTCTCACTTTATGGCCTCTCCTTTTGTCTTTCGATTATTTTTCTGAATCGCTTTACTTATATTTCGCGGATAATTAATTCCCAGGAGAATTTTTCATATCTTCTCAACGACGAAAGATCATCGCCGATAAAATATACATGGCTTTGCGGCGATATAATCAGCGACGCGATTATCTCTATCGCGATAATTTCATCGGTTCAACGAAACGCGTCTCGAGCTGGCTCTCGCTCGTCGTCCGCTCGATTAAGTCTCGCTTGTCTCGCGAAATTTCAATGCGGTATTTTTAATACGCGGGCTTATTTCGTTTCTCGAGATACCATTGATAAAACAGGGCTCTCGATGCGCCCCGGGTAATAATTGAAATTCCTTTCATCTCGAGCTCGACCCCGGCATGCTTTATCTCTCGTATTTTTACGCCTCGAGCAAAACGAACTTCCTGCTTCCGGTCGAAGGAGCAGAAAATGCGACAGCGAACACCCGCAGGCCAGAGCAAATGTATGAATCTCGATGGCTCGAAGGGCGTGTCTGTTTCGCCTCGATAGTTTCCGCGAGACCAATCGTGCAACAAACGACCGGCGAAATCCTTGAAAATAATCCTTCCGTCCCCGTCCGCGACGTTATATATACATATTTCGCGGTGAGAAGAGTCAAGGATTCGTTTCGACACTCGATCAAAAGGCGACCTGAGACGCTCGTGAGATGTCATCCGTTTCGTTTTCGTTACCGCCCGCGCCGCTGCGATTACAAAAGCGACGAATCGCTTTTCGCGTTTGTTATTTACCGAATTTCCCTGGGGCGAGTAGCTGCGACAGTTACACGTCCCGCAGAACTCCGCAAGCTGAGAATCCCGAATCCCAGAAAAGTCCTCGTGACCTAAATGCGAGGTGGAAACGTCGAGATTAGCAAGACCAGATGAGACGTCTCCTGGACGAGACGAGCTTCCGCGCGTTAGACGCACGAGTTCAACGAGAAGATGACGGATGATTCGATTTCTAACGGCGGATATTGACACAATCGAAATGGTCAGGCGGACCTCTCTCGCCACTCGTCCGTACTTTGTAAGTGCTTTTTGTTCTTACCGGCCATTCTCTCTCCGGCTTTCGCCTCTATCGGGGCACTCGAAGCGAACGCGGAAAGTGGTCACAAGCCGTGTTAGTACGGCCGGCGGAAAGGAGAGTTGTCCCACCGACGACGTGTTCCACATCGGACACGCGGAGTTGGTTCTATCCACTTTCGAATCGTCGTGCTACTGTGTTACCGTACCGCTACGTGACGAGAGATTCGTTCCGATAAAAAAGACGCGCATCGACAGCTGATCATTTTACAAGGATTGCCGCGCGATGCTCGCGCGACGACGAAAGGAACGACGCGACGCGCGACGGTGTGTTGCTCGCTCGCTCGCTCGCGTCTCGGCTCGACGAAACGTTTCAAGCGGATCGCGTCTCACCGTCGTCGAAAGCTCCCTTGAAACTCGCCTTGTGTGTGATTCCCTCCCTATCATAAATTCCATTGTATTTGCACGACTTGTGTGTGTGTGTGTGTGTGTGTGTGAGCGTGCTTTTCATCGCGCGTTCCACCGATAATTCGTACGGGAATTAGAGCGGCCGGCGTAATTACCGCGCCGTGTGCGAAACAATTCGTGTAAACAACTCGAATAAACCAGTCTCGCGGACGCGACTCCGAGTCGACGCGAGAAAGGATCGAAAGTCCTCGGCTAATATCGTGATGTCGAATTAGCGTGAAGAATAATGGAGTCTCGAGTGAGCCGGGAGAATGACTGGCCTGAGAAGTTCGATGGACGAGATATCGAGTAGCCCGAGTCGCTTCTGGGCTTTTCACGGAGCTCTTAAACGACCATTACCGGGCTCGAGCGAGGGAAAGCGACCTCCCCGACGGGCCTGAAGACCGGAGGACTCCGGAGTGGCCGAGCAGACATCAAAGACGAGCGTTCAACGACAGCGGACAGAATCAGCGGACAATGTCGGGTGGGAAACGCCCGCTTTAACGCGCTTAAGACGGCGGTGATTTCCACAGGGCGGGATAAAAGCAACCCTTCCCAATCCCCTCCCTCCCCCGATCATCGTCTTTATACCTCTGGCGGATTACTAGACTCTATTATTTTATTAGTTAGCCGATCCCTGCGATTTCCAACTGAGGGATTGAGAGACAACTCGAGCGCGTCTTTTCGTCGAGAGAGCAATGCGCTTACCTCTTTTTCTTTGTCGCGGCAAGTGAATTTATCGCGACTTGTTTGTCTGGGCACGTTAATTACATCGATCTCGCCGTCATGCGTATATTACGTGCGCGCGCGCACACACACACACACACACACATTCGACGCAATTGAATCAATCGCCAACGAGAAGCGTCATTAATAAAGAGCGGAAATATATATGAGTGTTTCCAACTATTACTGAACTCGCTACAGAAATTCGCCCCCTCCCTTCCACCCTTAAATAGACAACATCGCGCGACATCCTTGATGTCTCGGATGCGACGTCGCGCGACGGAGAGGACTCCGCTCTCTAACAAGTTTTCGCGAAACACGGAAAAACGGCGAGAACCGTTCGCGAGGTTGCTGCGAGAAATTTGCGAGAAAATGCGCTCGCGACGGAACACGCCCGCGGAATTTTAGGTCAATCGTTCGGGAACAACTTCGCCGAATAAACGTGCGTTGCTGCGCCCTTCCCTCCGGACGGTATGTTCCCCCCCTCGCGCCCCAAAGTGTCTCCCGAGGAACTAGTTTATGGCGCGCGAGTCACTTAATATGCCTTAAGTGCACGCGGCTGGTCGATGAAAGTGCACCCCCCGTTTTTTCATGGCCTCCTCCCTCTCTCCCGCCCTCCCTCCCGTCAGTCCTACCTCTACCTAGCCCTTTCCTGCCGGCACTAGGCAGTTATCGCGTCACGGAAGTTTCGGGATAGGCAGTTACTTGTACTTTCGTTGGTGGTGTTTTGCAAGTTCATGAACAGAAAGGGCTTCCTGTGGGAAGGAAGAACATCCGCTCGCTCACCGACGAGAAGTTGCGCCGTTTCGCCCGATGTTCGTATATCGTACGCTCAAACGCCACGGGTAAAAGGTCTTAGGAGGATAGGGAAGCGCGGACACTTTACGGCGTCGTTCGTTCTGAAGGCGGCGGATGTTTGACGTTAAATAAAATGTTACGTCAGTTACGGCGGTATACACAACGACTGCTCAACGATGGCACTAAGCGCGGTCGATACGAGGTATAATGCTATTGATTTTCGGGGCAAATTTCCAATTTGACGAGCTGTATGAGCCTATAAATCACCAATAGCTGTTGCGCGATCACCGGGATATTTTTCACCGCTCGCTAATTGAGATGCATTTTCCATTCGCGAATCTGTTTACCCGGAGGTTAATCCCGCGGGCCATGTGTGCACAATACGGTCGTTCGATATATATATGTGTATGTGTGTGTGTGTGTGTGTGTGTATTTATATATATACATTAATTATACATATATATGTGTGCGTATATATCTATACACATATGTATGTATGTATGTATGTATGTATGTATGTATGTATGTATGCATATATAAGCCAATAAATAAACAGCATAAAAAGAGCAGTTTCGAAATAGCAGTAATGAAAGTTGCATTTTATAACCGCACTGACGGAAGTTAATTAGTTGGAAAATGTAGTAGGGTGCGTGTTATAAAATAAAATAATCGAGTCCCGGTACTTCTAACGAACGAAATGTGTTTCCCAAATAAACCCTTTGGTGCTGCTCGGATAGAGCATTTCTCGGCTTACACCACTTGCGCTGGAAAGACGTGCCACGCACGTCAAGATGCTTTTGTCACAAAATCGCCAACGACGTGCTGTACAAACAGAAAAAAAAAAAACTATTACAGGTCCTAGGTCGAAAATTAATTAGTTTAGAAGATATAAATCTTTTTCCGATTTCTATAAGGCATCGAACAACACTTAACGCCTCGCAGTGAGTTGCTAGTCGACAGTTTTGGTACGCGCATCTGTGAATTTCTTGCCAGCGCAAGTGGTTAATAACACATCGCAATATATCTTTCAGAGAGTAATAAAAATAAAAAGGGAAGGGAGAAACAAGCGTGTCGGCTGATCTTTGATACCAGGTTCAAAGTTTGTAGTCACGCGGACGCGCAAACACGCCTACGCACACAGTGCGTGTGGTAAACGATTAATTAGAAAACTAACGAGCTGAACAACTATTCATTTCGTTTGAACGTGGTTCTATCATTCGCGTAAAGAGCTTATTGTTTTATTTGCATACGTTTGTCGAGAGAGCCGACTATTACGTTTCGCGGCAATTATTCCGCATGGAGCAGGCAAGAGAGTCGGATAACAAGTGAAGCGTGGAGTATTCACCCTTTCGGCCGTTAATGTTTCACCGTATTCGGAACAGAAAATGCTTCTGCGGCTCGCCATCAACGCGTTCTCTGTCAATATAATTTCGACGGAAGCTTATCGGCGCCGGCAATATGCTGCGTATTTGATTTTCTGCGGTGACTGTTATTTGACTTTCGTAATATTGCAACCGGAAACATTGAACGCAGATGTCCCATGCGTTTACACTGGGTAAAACTTCGTGTTATTCCTTTTTTATCTCAACCCCCTCCCTTTTTTCCCGGTCCTTCCGACCGCATGTATATCCCCGCGGTGCACATACCCGCGGCCATATATTCCAAAAATAAAAGAAAAAAATACTAACAGTCATTACATTGAACAATATTGTTTCAGAAATTGCTTTTAACACGCGCGCAACGATGTGTGCACATATGAATAATACGCCGACGGCGACTCATAAATTGCCATAGACTATAACACGTGTGCAATTCCGATGAACCGTGAGAATTCCGATCGACCGATCATTTGTCCGAAATGAAAATCGGAGAATTCACTTCAGCGAGAGAGACCGACCTCTTACCCCAAAGACTGTAAACAATGACAAAAAGTAGTGCGGTCAAGCGCGTTCGCTATGAAGCGAAAAACCCTGTGCGGCCAGTGTTTGCATCATTCATTTTTCTTGCGCAAAACGCAACGAATAATATTCGATCCCCCAAAAACTGAAGTGACAAGTAAGTCGATTCGAGACAGAGAGGCTGCGTGTCCTCGATCGATATCCGACAATTCTTAATATTCGGCAATTCTCGATCGATCCTTAGTATTCCGGCAATCCTTAGTATTCGGACGAGCGGATACGAGCTGAGACGTCGTTGACCGGAAAGGCCGGATCAGCGAACACGCACGAGCTACACCCCCGGGTGATCTTCGAGTTGTCGTCGGGCCGCCGCACAGCCGAACACCCCGAAAAACGGCCAAGATCGAAGTATGAGCCGCGCGCGACGATAAACGGGTCGATGAACGGAATTGGGAGTGTTACCTGAGCCGTCAATCCGTCAACACTCGAGCAGAACGCACTGGTAGATCCAGCACACGCGTTACACGCATCACGGCATCATCGCCACGACAGATCGTCCTGGCGCCAATGTCACCGTCACCGTCACCGTCACCGTCACCGTCACCTTCGTCCCCGTCTTCGAATGACGTCGCGAACACGTGGCGTCACAGCCTGTCATCGGAGGTCACGACGATCTACGACCCTCTCGCTATTCACTCGAGCCCGGGAACCGTCTCCCCACCGCGTCGTCCTCGAGCGCGCTCCGCATTGTCACGCACTACACGCTCGTCGACTCGGACCAGGGTCAGGCTGACCGCGCACGGTTACTCCTTTTTCCTTACTGGGTCCGTCACTGGGTCAAATCGACCGATCAGGGAGCACCGTGCATCACTTCGCAAACGAGCACTCGACCCTCGACTCGGCCTGACCACCTCGCAGCAGGAGTCAACAACCGGAGGAGAGATCGCCGCTTGAGATGGTCCCGTCGATATCGATCTTGCGCGACGACGACGATAATGACGATGATGGTGATGACGGCGATGAATAATGATGATGAGTCACGACTGGGACCTTTCAACACGTCGCAAGCTCGCGACAGGAACACGGGCCCGTTCGAGGAGACCCGCGACGATGGAAGAGATCTTCGAAGAAGACCGTTCGATCCTCCCGCGCGTAGGACGAGGCGCGCGCGTCGAGCTCCGCGATGTCACTGGATGCTGCCGGCGAATTTTCGCGCACGAACAAGCGTCCGCCGACCTACCCCCACACACGGTGCTACTCCTCATCCCCGCCCTATCGGGGTGCTACCCACCCTGCAACGCGTACACGTCCAGACTCATCACCCGCAACCCCCGGTGCGCCAACACCCGTGCTTCGTGCAAGCTCGATAATCTTCGTGTGAGCTCGGCAGTCCTCGATCGGGAGGCGGGGGTGAGCGCGATACGGGGGTAGCAGGAATAGCTAGGAGGCAGTTTGGAAAATAGGGAAACGCGTTTTCCCCCGCGGCGCGGCGCGGCGCGGCGTACTTTCGCAGGACCGCGAAGCGACGGTGCGCCAGTGAATGGCCGGTCATTGGTGAATGACCAATGGGAATCCGTGCTTTCTCTTTCTCTTTCTCTCGTTCTTATAGATAGAGATATATACGGGACGTGTGTGTGTGTGTGTGTGTGTGTGTGCGCGCGCGTGAGTGTTGAGTAATGCAAAAATGAATTTCGGAATAGAAATACAATACTCTTGCATATCGGTTTCGAGCTATCGTGTTTTCCATATTTTTATCTGCGGTATCATCCTTAGGATGATGGAACTTCAGGATGTGGAAATTGAAATTGCAGCTTCGAATCCTCATTGAGGATCGAAGCGGGCGGATCGGAACACCGTCAATGATTGATAATCCTACGTATCAGCAGCCTGACGAGCAGGCAGCGAGATATTGTCGTTTCCGTCGTTTCTACGGTCGTCGTCGTCGTCGGCGGCCATATACTTAATTAATTGAGTCTGTTAGATTCAGATTAGGGATCATAGACAAGCAGGTAGGTTTGTTGATGGAGACGAGGTTACTGTGCGGCTGAAAAGAGATAAGGAAACGCGATGCGCGCGATAACTTCCTCGCTTCTGTCGCGTGGGGCAATTACTTGGCAGTAATTAAGATCGTTCGCTCGATTAAAGGTCACAATTACGCGAATGACAAATGTCGTACGGTGTGTATGATAAATAGCCGCTTTATCACGCATTTCCCGCCCGACTGATATTCGACAGCCGTTCATTATTATTATTATTATACCGCCGTGTACCAATACCAATTTGATTTTGCATCATCTTTCCTCTCGTTAAAGGCAACGTCGAAAGGTTTATTTCACAAGCGCCGTTTCACTTTGATACTCGTCGATATAACATAAATTAATTTGGCACATGCATCAATTCCCAACGTGTTTTGAACAATTAACAAATTGATTAACGGGAACGCCGCTGTTTTGCACACAGGTTCGAGCACACGCGGGAGCGCTCACGAGGCAATTTCGTTCGACGTTGGTACTGATGACTTTCGAAAATTATGCGAATCCCGATAAAGGAAAAAGCAAGTCGTACGGGGAACGTAAGAAGATTCGATTCAGCGCGCTGAAAACTGCAGGCTCTCTCCACAGACGGGCGAATTTACCGTCACGAGATGTGATTTATACATCCTCCAACGTGATGAGCGTTCATCGCGATGGCCGCTCGAGATTATTATAAACGAGGAATCGGAATGTTAAACGCAACGGGAGAATGACAAAGCCGTCGGGAATGAATTCTACCTTTGTTCAGATGTTCAAACAAACTTGCACCGGCTGGAATCCGGCGCTTCATTGCCGAAAATTCCGGCCCAAAAAGTTTCATCTCGCGAATACCCATGGTCGTTTTAATACATGACTGTGATTTCAATTTATATCTTGTTACGACTCAATAAGCCGGCCGCGGTAAACGTTACAAGATCGAATGACATTTCGAGGACGAGCGTTCTGTCTCTACAAAGAGCTGGTCGGTTTAATCAGGACGTAACAGAAGCAAAACGCGCGCAAACTAAACTCACCCCATTTGTTAAATATTCGCGGAAATCGCAGAGCGGAAATTGCACAAGGAGTTTCACAAGCCGCCTTCTTATCCCTATCCCACATCGATCACCGATCGTCGTCCGATGGCGTTGCGACGAGCAATGCGTTGCGACGAGCTGCGAGATGAAAAACTTTCTTACCTCAAGCCCTGACGAGCCAATTTGTGTTATAATCACTTTGGTTTTCGAATCGCTCGACGGCGGCGGCGGCGGCGGCGACGGCGGCGGCGGCGGCGGCGGCAGCGGTGCCAACTTCGGCAGGATGCTAACGAGCAAGCCCGTCATTCGTAATTAGCGCTTTCCGAAACTTAGCGGGGAATGTCGGCGGCGGGGGAGGGGGGGAGGAGGCGCGATTGCGGCAAGACGCAGTAGGCGTGAAAGCGCGAGAGGGTGAATCGTAATTGCGGCGGGGTAGTCGCGCCGCGCTCTGGATGTGACCATGTAGAAAGTAGCTCATTAGACGCAGTATCGCGGCGACAAGAAGCTGATTACCGTATCAATCGGCCGGTTAAAAGACTGGCTCGCTTGACGACGACGGTCACTCACTCTCTGCCACACTTCCGATCGTCCGTTCGATCGGCGACTTCTTGTACGCGACCTTCTTATACTCTTGATACGCGCATCTAGGGATGCCGATTTTAAATCGATTTAATCGAAGATCGATCAATCAGAGACTAAAAGATCGATTTCAAAAATCGATTTTCTGAAACTGAATCGATTCCAGGATCGATCCGTAAGTTCTGAAAATCGCCAACACGATTTTTTCAGTTTCTACTAGTAATATAGTTTTTTTTTTAATTCTTTTTAGTTGTAATATTTAAATTCACTCAATGGCCGCACAATGCACATTACGTTGCCTTTAGGCCGATGTCCCATGGGCGAAAATTTTCAGCAGAACGGAACGCGCGAACCAATCGCAGCCACTATAATAATGTATAATAGTATACATTGTATACATATGTATATGTATATAATAGCAAACGTGATTTCATATTTAAAAAATTTATATAAAAAAAATTTCTTATTAAAAAACGTTTAAAAACCCTTGATCGATGTTTAATCAAACTAAATCCTTAGCATAAAGATTTAAAAATCTTTTTCTATCTTATTCTGGCTACACACACACACACACACACACACACACACACATACACACACCACAACTAAAAGAGTACTATCTGTTTAATTACTTTAATTCATATTAAACTTTATATGAATTACACGAGGTCTACTTTAGAGGGTAGACATTTGACAGACAGTATACTTTAATGAGTGGTTCACTCTACATGCATACCGATTTTCAAATCGATTTTCTGAAACCGATTCTTTACAAACCGACTTTTTAAAGATCGATTTTTTCCCCCGTGATCCGAATCGATCTTTAAATCAATATGTTTGAAAAAAATCGGCATCCCTACGCGCATCCTCGGCTGGCGCATCAAGATACACGGTGTATCGATACCACCCCCGCTATTTGTCAACGAGTCGCGATACGTGGGACCGGAAATCTAACCGCAATCTGCCTCGTGAATGTGTATGTGTGTGTGTGTGTCGCAACGGAGACTTCTCGCGCGCGAGTAACGGCGTAACTTCGTTCGTCGACGGCTCGTTCGCGGTTATACGGCTTTGTGCTCTGCCACGGAAGCGTCGCTGAGAGAATATGAGAGAGAGAGAGAGAGAGAGAGAGAGAGAGAGAAAGGGGGATGATTCTGTACCGTCGCGTACGCAGGCGAATAAAACCGAACGCGCGTGTAACCGGCGCGCACAGCGCGACGACGATAATGAGAATACAGTATTACAATGGGATCGATTAATACGACTCCTTCGCGTTTAACACGATAGACATTATGAGCGCGACGAAACGTGTACAAAGATGCCGGCGCGATGGCTTTGAATGCACAGCGACTACGATTCTCAGCCGCGTGCACATACGTGCGCGCAAGCGCGCTTGAAAACACGTAATCATCAGGCGTTGGGGCTATTATGGCCGGGAATCCGCATGCAAATGTGTGGGTGTGGGTGTGTATGTGTGTACGCGATACGCCGCATGCCGAGCTAAATAGATTCGTCTGTCCATCTATCTATTTGCCCTTTCGATAGAGTTCACACGCACGACATCGTGCTGTCGCATCCAGTCGCTATCGTTGCGATCAATTCGACAAGCGGAAATGACTGAAGTTCGATATATCCGCGCGCAGCCTCTCTGAGCAAGACGATACCGAATTTGCAGTCGAGCATGCTCGCGCACGCCGGCTTGATTCGCTCGAAATATGCGAACGCGAGCGCGAATGCGAGAACACAATCGCGGCGCCGCCGCGCCGCGCCGCGCCGCGCCGCGCCACGCCAGCGGCCTCGGTGTTATCCCGGTATACAAACGTGATGGGAAATCGTAAATATCCGTCGCAGGTAGACGAAGGAGGCGCGCGGTTTCCCTCTTAGTATTTCCCAGACACTTTTCCAGCGCGCCGTATTCGGCAGCGCGGTTCGCGTTGTTCGCTAAATAGCGTGTCGCGAGACACAACTATTCGCACGTAACGATTCCCCGACGCGAAAAATAATTACGCAATCTCGCCTCCGTTTTCGTGTGCCGCGTCACGTCACGCGCTTCTCTCTCTCTCTCTCTCTCTCGCTCTCTCTCTCTCTCGTTCTCTCTCTCTCTCTCTCTCTCTCTCTCTCTCTCTCTCTCTGTCGCCTCACGTCTCATACGCACGTCTTTCCACGGCGATTATTATGCCGCACGTGGGAAATCCAGTTGACAACGGCGAATCCTCGCGGTGTTCACTTTGACGCGTGTTGCCTCCGCCCGCATGATTGCGCACGTCCATGGCTGTCTGATCGCGAAGACAAGCGTTATCAATTCTAGCCGAGCCGGCTTGCACTTCCGCATGCATATGTATGGATGCGGAATATGTAGCGCGTATATATAGCGAGCCGAGTATATTCATACGTTCCGCCGTGCCGCATCATAAAGACGCGCGAAAGACACGGCTCTCTGTGCCTTGTGACTCGCTCTCGCTCGCGCGCTCGCGGGAAATTTGCCCGGTAAATCCTTCCTTTTAGCAGCTTAAGTGAAACACGCGCGAGCGCTGAACCGTCGCGTCACGCGAGAAGCACCCGAGAGATCCCCGAGAAGAATCTCCGCGTTTCGTAATTCCCGCTGCAACCGGGCTCGGTTGGTGC